TGAACACAGGTTCTCCTGCACCATCCAGAACTCCCTGCATGGCTTAAAACTGTAGGCAGCTTCCAGGAAGCCTGAAAGGGAGCACAGACAATGCCAGGTGGGAGCACAGAGCATTGCTACCTGAGATAAATTTTGGTGGCTACTGGTGCTGCATGCCTTGCCTCCCCACTGAGTGTGACTGTGGCTCTCCAAGACTTGCCAGAGGTCCATTCCTACCTCTGCATGTGGCCAGATCCTGGGGGAAGAGCCTGCCCTCCTGGATCTGCTGTGTGCCAGCGTCAGGAGCCCAGAGGACATCAAGCTTAGCATCTCACTTCATTTTCCTCAGAGCACCTCAGCAAACCTCCAGCTCTAACCTGCAGGATAACATAAAAACAAGGGGAAAATGAACACAGACTGATGCATGGAACGTTTTCACCCCCCCACATCCCTGCTGCCCCCCCCAGAAAAACAAAAAGAAAGAGAGAAAGAAAGACAGCAGCAATCTGTTTCTTTTCCTGGAAGGAGTATTGGCATATGCTTGAGTTGGGACCACAAAGACACTCTATTGGCTGTGTACATACCTTTGCACTAAGGAAAGTCCTGTCACTGTGATGCCAGGATGGAGGAAAGCGTATGCATTAACACATGGAGCAATCAGGCAGTATTTAATCTGAGAGCTTTGAATTGTGGCTGCTGAAAATAGGGTCTGACCAACATATGGGCTCATGAATCTTTCCTGACAGCCCTGCAGTTACAAAAGCAAGAAGTTGAGCCTCCTGGTTATAAATTGGTCATTAATAAATTTAGGTTGACAATTAGAAAGTTTCTAATAATCAGAGGATTAGGTTCTGGGAACTTTCAGACAGGAGTGGGCTGTGAACCTTTGTCACCCCCAGAAGAGCAGCATAGGAGAAGAGAGGAGAGAACTGAACGGCATGGGGAATTCATCCTGTCCATGCCCCCAGGAATGGCTTTGTATCACCTGCTAAGGTAAAAGCAATAGCCCTGGAGCTGAATTTCTCAATTTCTTGAAAGTTTTGAGTAGGGTGGCCAGAAAGAAAGGCCAGATTGTCAGGGTCTAGCTTGTCAGGCATGTTCTCCTTCCAACGACCATGAAGATACTGAATTTGCTGTCTGAGCAGTGACCACCCAGGGCTGTTGGCAGTGCCTGTGACCCTGAGCCCTCTCATCCTGTGGCATGGCACTGGGACTTCCTTCAGCCCACAATCCCAAATTTTCTATAGCATGCTGGAAATTATTTTGTACCATGGATTGTGTGGATATTTTTAAGTCTCCTGTTGGAATAATTGTCCTATGGCACAACTGCCTGCACTGACATTTAAATGCAACTCTCCCTCCCACTCTAGACCTGCTGTACTGCCAGCAGAGACCTGGCATATCCAGTGTGAACATTCTTCCTTCCAAGGTCACAACCAGGTGTCTAGGAGTTGAGGAAGCCTGCTCACATCTGGGATGAGGATCTGCATGCATTGCCAACAGCAGCGGCTTGTCAGCCTCTCCCAGGGCTTTGAAAAATCCTTCAAGCAACTGGAGCAAAAATGATGCCACTTTCAGCTAGTCAGAATTCATTTATTTCATTATGCCATGAACTCTGCTTTTTTTTTTGCATTATCCACAGAGACTTCTAGGATGAGCTAAGACTCACGTGTGCAATGTGAATGAGACAAGCAGTAGAAATAAAAGATAAACAAGGAAGAAACCCCTCCCTGTAAAGTTATTCAGGGATTCCAGGGAGAAAGAGAAGGAAGAAAGAAAAAGCTCTCAAGCCTATTTTCCATCTCTCCTTTAGAAGATTTTTACATAGCACCTGACTGTGACAATAACACAGCTAGCAATGGCCCCTTCTTTTGTAAATAGGAGGCTCAAATAGTGGCAATAAGAAGTCTTGACTGGTGAGTTATTGTGAAAAATATTCAGATGTTTTGCTCTCTCACTGTGTGTCTGTAGGTAAAGCTCCAGGCGATCTCAAATATAATATTCTTTCATGCTATTTAAATGTGCACACCACTACTCTTTTGAAGTATCTCTCATTTTCATCAGAGCAGAGCTTCCTGATAAGATTCTGCCACATGAACCTTTATCAGGGCTCTGAAACACCACCTGCACTCCCCCAGCTGCCCAAAGCGGATGCGAGGGAAGAGCTCAGCTCTGCTGAGGGCCACGATGAGCAGGTCAGGGCCTCTCCTCCCTATCTGTGAGGAACAGTTACAGAACTAAATAATCCTGAAAAATACCCTCCAACCAGGGATCACCAGGGAAATGCTATAAAGTACTTCTCCTATAACAAGAACTGGGTCAATGCACTTCAGGAAGGAGGAAGTGGCTCTGTGCTGGTGGCAATGACATAATTTTTATGTTGGTGACCAGTACAAATTGCTGACTGCAGGTGGAAGACGTATCTAATTTTGATGCATATAGTGGTTTGAAAGCTTATGGGAGAGGTGGAGAGTTTGCCAGAAAGACTTGCCTGGAGCCCACTCAGTTTTATCATCTCTGAAAGGGAAGTAAAGAAAAGATGAGTAACTCTTCGTTTATCTAAACCAAGAATACAATACAGGGAGAGCTGCACAAAGTGAAAGTTGGGCCACATTCCTTCTGAAAGCCACATTCCCATCAACTGAAAGTTGCACAGCCCCCAGGAATGCAGCTTTTGCAGGGAAAAGGGAGTGGGTACACCACTAGTACCCACAGGGCCTGTGTCAAGGTAGGGACAAGGACTGCAGGACAACCAGGGGTGTCATGTTTAAACTGGTAAAAGATGATCTTTCTGCTTCAGTGAAGGAAATCCCAGTACAAACTCAAAAGTACCTGAGTATGACAATAGTACATGAAGCTTCAAACTCAAAACAACGTCAAAAATTCCTAAATTAAACCCCCAAACAAACCAACCCAGCCCCCCTTCGTCCCCCCAGAATTATAGCATGGAATAACAAAAAGCTGAAGACCTGAAATGAGTAGACCACACAGTCATCCCTATAATTTGCTCCACTTACCACTTCCTTGCAAGCTGTATTTACTCATATACCAATAATGCTGTGAATAGAAATTAGCATGCCTTCATGTCGATAAAAGGCAGGCACGTGGAGCTTTCAGAGACACTTTATCAGTGTGCACAGGAGAAAAGCAAAGAAACCTTATGGGGCTGGAAACATTTAAGGGGCACTATAATTGAAGCAAGACTAAATAGAGCTGTAAATTAGACCAGATTTGTCAGAAGTCAATCAGTAAATGCAGAGATTTCTCTTTCAAGTCTATTACAGCTCAATGAAAAAAATTGAAACACATTCAGATGCCAAACACAGTAACAGACATGCTAGTCAAGAAACAAAAGCATGCTAATACAGCATTTTTCAAGAATATGCATCACCAGCAAATCAGTTGGCACAGAACTGTGGATGGTTCATGGTAATAACAGATTTAACATCTTTTAACTACAGATCATGCCAAGGGGTGCAATCCTGCTCCAGGAATTGCTCACATCTCCCAGACTTTTCAGCACAGGGATTAGAACTGGATTTGCCAAGTACTGGTATTGGTTTAGGAAATACAGCAATTATCTGCTGAGCTCAGGGATAGGGCAGATGCCCTGCTCTGCCCCTAGCAAGCCCACTGCACATTCTGTGTGAAGTGATATAACAAACACAGGGACTTCAAGCTCTTTATAAACAGCAAACCCCATTTCTTTATGCTCAGCTCCACAAAGTAAAATAAGAAGCATATCCATAGTCCAGCAAAGTACACCTTGGTCAACCACAAAGGCAAAGTAAAGAATTGGCTAAGCACGTCCAGTCCTCTCAAGTGTTTGTGCCATCCTTTTTGTTTGGCACCATTCCTTGCACGGGAAGGCAGCACAATTGTCTGGCCTTAGGAACAACCTTAGAAGAGTTAACGTTGCCATCGTGTGGCAACCTTCAGAAATCAACTACACTCTTCGTTTTCCCCGTAGCTTTACAAAAAGGAAAAACCAGCCCAGAGGGCTGGACAATGCCCGTGGACGGAAAGGAAGGTGGCTTGCTCACAACGCAGGTTTCACAGAGGTTTAATGACTTGCTGAAAAAAACAGCAGATGCTGCTCAAATGGAACACCCAGTCAGAAATGCACAGTGCAGGTACCAAAATCTGATATATTCTGTTATTGCTCTTTCCCCCTTTTGGCCAAATTGTTAAAAAACAGTAGTTTGACAGAAATACTGCTTGTTAGGTGTGGTTTTAGAGCCCAGCTTTCTTTTAAAGCACAGAACACTCTCTCTCCCCAGCACTGCCTAAATCTTTTATGCCCCACTCTCATGGAGAAGTGCTAGGGCAGACACAACTCTCCACGTTTTATACTGCTACCAGGTCACTCTCCAGGACAATCCCAGCTCCCAAGGATTACTGTACACCTTATATCGTAGAAAAGTTTCAGCTGCCTCAGCAGCTGCCAAGTGGTAGGAATGAAAACACTGGATAAATTGCAGTCATAGGCAAAGATGTTCTGGGGAAGACAGTACCTTTGAAAATGAGTAAATGCTGCAGAAAAAGCATTTCTGAGCTCCTTATGATTGAAGGCACATCTATTTTCTGTACAGGCACTTTTTACCATTTTTCCCCCAGTCTTATATAACCAAGCTTAACAGTAGTACATAAAAAAAATCAAGAACCCTAAGGGACAAATCTTTTACCTTAAAGTACCTCCAGGTTGATATAACTTTGAAGTTACTTTCCAGTTGAGAGTTTCAGAGTAGGTGGATTTAATCACTTCAAAATCCAATTTAAAATCAAGGTCTCCAGACACTTGAACATGGCTTTTAGTCCCAATTTGCATAATTTCTGATTATTTTTTTTTTTTTCACTTAGCAGTTATATCCCTTCCTATCAACCATGTGCTTGAACTTTGTAGCTCAAGACAACACTGTATACTTCTAAGTGTTTGGGTATGCCTAATGCTGGCTGAAATAATGTACCACTAACCGTGTAAATAGTTAAAGCACACATTTTTAGCAACATATGCTTATCAGTGTACTTGACAACATATATTTTAAGTATGTATATAACGATATAAAGGTCTCAAAACCTTCATTCTTTAAAACATATACAATATCCTCCAACTTATATTTGACTGAAAAAATAATTTGCTTTTAAATTACCAGATACCTCAGACTTCCAAGATTTCTCCAATCAATGTGAAGAAAATTTATCTCCTGCCAAGAAACGACAGGGGGAAACAAAGGAAATTACATGCATGCTGACGCTGAGATTTGTAAGCATTATTTTATAATGCAAAGACTAAATTGAGCAGTTCAGTGTTTCAGATGAACTAATTTTTAGGTCATGTTCCCTTTTACTTGATGGTTTTGATTAAATAGGGAAATTATATGCTTCATAGTTTAAGGAATTGGAGTTAATCTCAGGTCTTGACACAAAATCTTACCCTTAAGCATTCCAAAAAGCAAGCATATTGAAATACATGGCGACAAATTCCATCTCGTTAGCACATCACAAATTGCTGTAACTGTCTTACAGGGCAACTAAGGTGCTTGACATCTGAAGCATCCAAGTATTCCAGGTCACTACTTAAAAAATCCGGGAAGTTTTCTAGAAAATAATTTAGTGTTTGAACAGCAATTTGTCAAGTCTTTAAAACGCTGATATTCTTGTATTCTAACAAGAACACATCCTTTCAGCATATGACTGAATTTATACAGAACTGTGTGATTATTTTCACACATTTTGCACTCAAGACTGTTCAAGTAGTATTGTCCATTCCCAACCAATTTCATTAACAGACTGCTTTTAAATGTCAGGATCTGACCTACTTCAAATAATGGGAAATGCAATTATTTCAACTAGAATTGGGTACAGAGCACTGGGCACAGCATGGCAAAAGCATTTCTGCATGTTCCTGGGGTGTAACAGAATCCAACACTTGGACATTAAAAATGAGACAGACAACCACTCTTGGTCAGAAATAAAAACAAACGTATGATTAAAATTTAAATCAAGTGTTTGTAATTTTAAAACTAGAACAAGGACACAGTTATACATAATGAGAAGTTCATTTTATTTCTGTGCCTTCTGTGCCTTGGGTGCTGGCGCCTTCTCTGGCTTCTTAGCCTTGGGTGCCTTCTCTGGCTTTTTGCCCTTTGGTGCCTTCCCTGGCTTCCCTGGCTTCTTGCCTTTTTTAGAAGCCAATCTCTGGAGCTTCTTCATTTCATGCTTGATGATTCTGTTTCTCTGTTAAAAAAAACAAACAAACAAAACGTTAACACTTGATCAGAATGAAAAGAGCAGGAGTTCAAATATTGTGCCTAATTCAAGTTCTAAGCTTTAAGATTCTGCCTCTTTTCATTACCACCCTTTACCATGTATTATATTTGAAATGTCAAATTCCACCTAAACTGTTCCAATCTACCAAGTGGACATTATCATTCTGGCTGGTAGCTCAGGCATCTCAATATTTCATGTGTAATGATTTTCATTAGAGGGTAAAATACTAACAGCAACCCATGTAGAATATTTGATTTTATAAGCAGGCAATTCCTTCCCCAGCTGTAAATTGGGAAGACTGACACATACATGGATTATACAAGTCTGATCAGCTACAGAAGAGGAAGTAGTGACATAAAAAAAGCATGGAAAATTCAAGGCATTTCACACCCATAACCCAAGCCAGCTGTGTAAGCAAGCTACTAACACTGGATGTGACTCTGAAGTGAAAGCTACAAGTATTAACCCCATGAAGAAGCAGCACTCAAACACTTACCATTTTCTTCGCTTTCATCACCTTGTAGCGATCGAAGTCAGTCATTTTGGCTTTCTGTGTGAAAAGAATCAGTCACAAAACTCAGATATATACAAGTAGTAAAACTCAGCATTACAAAGCATTCCTAAAGTAACTGATCATCTCTAAAATAGCTGCACTTCTGGAACTAGCTCACAATTTTAAAGCCTTTGCACCATCCCAGGCTTCAGAAAAAGGAGGCTGTTATAGAAATAACTGAACAAAACCATAACCACTGTTAAAACACATTAAGTTTAAGCTGGTAAGTTAAAAACCTATGCCTTGTCTATCTTTAAGCCTAACCTGCTATTGAAAATGTGCAGCCTTTAGACTGTACCTAATTTTACAAAGCAGAAAAAGGACATGTACTCCTCATCCAGTTAAACACTGTTACCTTTTCTCGAGCCTCAATCTTCTTTGCCCATCTTGTCGCTGACCATTTTTCATTTATATTTTCCTTCTCCCAGGCAAGTCGCACACACTTCTGACGAGCACTGCATTGGAACAGTCACAAAATCGTATTCACAGTTTTTATTAAAAAAGGTTCTCCCTGATGCTGGCCTCCCAGATTTCATTCAAGGAAAGATGACTCTACTGCATTACTTCAGACACCTTATAAATGCCACATGCATCTGTGGCCTAATTAATGTTCTGTAAGTGCTGTGCTAGAACTGCCAGAATCACAGAATGGGTCAGGCTGGAAGGAAACATGGGGGTCATGAACTCCAACCTCCCCGCTCAAGCAGGGCCATCCCAGAGCACATGGCACAGGATTGTGTCCAGGGGTTGCTGAGTATCTCCAATGAGGGAGACTCCATCATCTATCTGGGCAACTTGTTCCAGTGCTCAGTCACCTGAGCTCCAGGAAATCCACATCTCTCTTGTCCTGAGGAGCTCAGAACTGGACACAGCATTCCAGGTGTCACTTCACTAGAACAGGATCACCTCCCTCGCCCTGCTGGCTGCACTCTTTGTGATGCCCCCAGGATACCATTGGCCCTGTTGGTCACAAGGACACTGCTGGCTCAGGGACAGCTTGTGCACCACGACACTCAGGTCCTTCTCTGCAGAGCTGCTTTCCAGCAAGTTGGCCTCAAGCCTGTACAGGTGCTCAGGTACAGGACTCTGCACCTGCCCTTGCTGAACTTCCCAATGCCCATCTCTACAACTTGTTGATATCCTTTTGAATGGCAGCACAGCACTCTGGGATATCAGCCACTCCCTCCAGCTTTGTGTCACCAATGAACTTGCTGAGGAGGAATCTGCCCCTTCATCCAAGTCACTGATGAGAACATTAAACAATGCCAGGCCCAGCACTGAACCTTGGGGGACACATGTGACAGGCCACAGGTGACAAGCCACCGATCACAGACCTCTGGGATCTGCTCTCAGTCTACTTCACTGTTAAAATGAGCAGCTGTCCCTAGCACTGCTACAGGATCAGAAGCACTGCCCTTTTCTGATTCTAAATTACAGAAATTCACACCTTAACCAAGCTAAAAGAACAGAATGAGTTCAGCCTCCTGCAATTCCAGTGTTGTCCTGTAGGCAGGGAGCCCATTTAATGCCTGAAGGTAGTAACTTATGCAGCAGCAAAAGCAAAGCTGCAGCAGCACTGACACTGCTTTCCTCCACACCATCTACCACAGAGCTCTGAGACGCCTTCACTGCTCTGAGACCTCCTTTGCTCCTGAACAGCAGCTATCAGCCAACACTGGCAATGAAAACCTAAATATATTCATCTATGATAGCAAAGTGTGCCAAATTTTTACTACTCTTTGAACCTTCTAGACATAGCAAGGATCAGTCATCAAGTGACAGCATGGGAGTTTTTTTCACACAGGACAAGAAGGATGCCAGCTCACCTGTGTGGGAACTTCAGGACAAAGTCAGTCAGCTGCATGCACTTGAAGGGCATGGCCTGCCTCCTGACACCACTGCAGGGGCCATCCACCAGTGCCTGAAAAAGGGAAACAAATATGGGGGGTTTGCACCCACTGCATTCGATTTAGACAGCTTCTTCCTAAAAATGTATGAACAGTATCTTGACAACACTGATCCAAAAATTAAACACGTATTATGCAGATAGAAGCAGAGATTGTTAAATCTTGCCTGTACCACTCAAACAGAAAGAATTCTGAAGGCCTGCCTTTGACAAAAAAAAACCAAACTGAATAAAAAAAAAGTAGACAAAACTAAGATAGGTGCAGGAATAGTCCCCTAGCCCAAATATTCACTTTACACATAAATTAATGCCATTTCATTAGTAAGTGTTAGACTCAAAACTGACATCCCTTTTCCACTGCTACACAAAGGAAACACACCAGAGAGGAGGATTTATAACTTGCCGGGCAAAAAGTGTGCTCCTAAAGCTGTTTCAAGTACAGCAGCTGCTAAAACCTATCCTTCTATCAATTGCTTATTTGAAAACAGAATTTCTACTGAAGTCAATACACACAGCCTGAGCATACAAGCTTCTGTTAAGGCAGAAAGGAGGAAACACAGGGGCCGTACTCACAACTTACCCTATTTTGGTCAATAACATCCACGATGGCCACCAGTTTGCCAGCATGTGGCCCGAAGGAGATGAAGGCAACTCTGCCAATCTCCACAAAGCGCTTGAACACCTGGGAGGGGAGGAATGGACAGAGTTAGGTGAGAACACAGCCAAGGCCATCTTCAGATTCAAGGCTCTGAGAACGTTTAAAAGAGCTCCCCAGAAAAATCACAGAATGGCTAGGGTTGGACAGAGACCTTAAAGATCACCTACTCCCAACCTAGTCCCTGCTGTGGGCAGGGACATCTTCCACTTCACCAGGTTGCTCAGAGCTCCATCCAACCAGGTCTTTTAAAACTTCCAGGGATAGAGCATACACAATTTCTCTGGACAATCTGTTCCAGTACTTCAACACCCCCACAGTAAAGCATTTTTTCCTACTACCTCATCTAAACCTACTCTCTTTCGGCTTGAAGCCATTCTCCCCCCGCCCCATCACCACATGCTCCTGCAAACAGTCCTACCCCATCCTTCCCCTAAGTTCTCTTCAGCTCCTCTCAAGCTTTCGAACTGCACCAAACCCCAGCGCTGGAGCAAAGCGGCCGCGGCCGGGCGGCGCTCCGAGCCCGGCCCTGCCGGAGCCCGCACGACACGCGGAGCGCGGCCCCGGCCCAGCGGGGCTGAGGCGGGCGCGGGCTCCCCGCCGCCGCCGCCGCGGTGCCGGCGCAGGGAGGCGCGGGCGGGAGCGCCGGGCGAGCGCCGGGCGGCAGGCGGGGCGCGGCGGGACGCGGCGGGCCCGGCGGAGCGGGGCACGGCCGCACGTACCATGATGGCGGCGGCAGCGGAGAGGCGGGGCGGGCCCGCCGGCGCCCGGAAGCCGCCTCGGCGCCGCCGCTGCGCGTGCGCGGGGCGGGGCGGGGGCGCGCGCCGCGCCCGTGGCCCCGCCGCGCGCGTGCGCCGTGGCGTCCCGGCGGGCGCGCGTTGCCGTTGCTGTGGCGGGTGGCCTGTCCTGAGCCCTGTCCCTGGGCCCGTGCCCGTCTGCCGGGCTGCCGGGCGGCGGGAGGTCCCTTCCAGACAAATCAGTTCTCCTCTGGCCGCCCGCAGCTCCCGCCCTCCCCCATCGGCTCTGCGTTACGCTGTCCCTCTCCGGCGGCCCGCGCTGCCAGGCGTGGGACACACCGCGATGCTTCAGTCACAATGCTCTTTGCTCTAAGGGCTTGTGCACTTCTGCCGCTTCCGGCTGCTAGAGTTGCATTTCTTCACAGTGGCTTGCACGGAGCTGTGTTCTGCATTTGTGCTGAGCACAGGTTGGTAATACGGAGATGTGTGGTGGCTGAGCAGGGCTTACACAGAGCCAAGGCCTTTTCTGCTTTCCAAAGTGCCACACTGGCAAGGAATTTGGGAGTATATGAGAGGCTGAGAGGAGATATAGCTGGGACAGGTGACCCAGACTGACCAAAGAGATGTTCCAGACATCCGTTTATAAAGGAGGAAGTGGGGGACACTTGGAGTGACAGCATTTGTGTCCCCAAGTAACCACTATGTATGATGGAGCCCTGCTCTCCTGGAGACAGCTGAACGGCAGCCTGCCCATGAGGAACAATGAATTAATTATTTGTTTTTATTTATTTGTCTGTACGACTTTTACTTTCCCTATTAAATGGTCTTTATCTCAGCTCATGAGTTTTCCAGCTCTTACCCTTCCATTCTCACCCTGATCCTGCTGGTGGGGAGTGAGCAAGCAGCTGCCTGGGGCTTGGTTGCTGGCTGGGGTGAAATGACCACAGCTTTCAAGCCTTATCAGCAGGAAAGGAGACCTGATCAGTGAAACAGGCAGCTTTTCTATATATACATAGTATATTTGAAAAAAGAAGAGTGGCTTGCTTTTAACCATCAGGATTTTTTTGCTGAGAACATGGCATTCAGGAGACAGTAAGAGATGTCCACTTCAGAACCTGGATCAGTTTTGCATCTTGCAAATTTCCACCCCCTAGAACAGCATTTCTTCCCTCTCTATTAACAATAGCTGTTCTACCAGCATGAAAATAATGGTAGAGGGGGCACTACCCTCTAAGACATGCTGAAAATGAAAAGTACACTTGGCTTAACTTTTCACAATTTTATTAATCTTTGTAAGCAGGCACTGAATAGTGTAGAAAGATAAATAACCTCCGGTTTGTACACATTCCCAAGTGTTGTCAACTTCCCTGTCTCTCCCAGAGATGCTTTCAGTTCTAGACAGCAGGACAGGGATCTGGCCTGTTCATCTGGTTCCACCTCACACCCGGGGGAGGAGTTGGCTGTGGTCACTGAAACTGCTTGGCTGGAAGTTCAACACCCTCAGCTTTCCCATCTAAAACTGCCAGGAGAGGTGTGACGGGGCAGGTGGGTATCCTGTGACACTGAGGGAGACTGTATACATAAGGACAAGAGGGAACTACTGAAAAAGAAGAACAGGTGATTCACAGGGGGGATTCTTTGAACAGATACTGGGCCTATCCATGTACATCTGCAAGTCCAAATGTTTTTTGAACAAATTTACTTGTTCTTTAGCTACCAGCTTTACAGAGACTAACTTCCAAGTGTGTTCCATTTGTGTAAAACCACATCTAAATGGCCCTGCCACTCACAAAGCAAATGTTTTGTTGGGTAAGTATTCCAGAACACAATTTTCCACAGAAATCTGGCAACTAAAGAAAACATTTTAATGCTCTCATCCAAATGTCTGGGTTTTTTTTCACCTGTAACTGCAGTTACAAAACCATCACACAAAATATCTCATGCCAGCCTCTTTAATGTCCATGCACTCTGAAGTAAATTTTACACTTTATCAGATATAACTTGGATGCCACAGGGCTCTTCATCATCTTATAATACCTTTTACCTTATTGCTATTCCAGTAAGACTGACAAGACTTAGCAGTATATCAATAGAGAAGGGACAAAGCCCTATTGATCTGCTTGAAAAATCACTTTTTTCTTTTTTTTATTTAAAAAGATATTTAGCTCCCTTCAAATCATCTGTCAGCCTATGAAAAAAAAAAAACAAAAAAAAAACAAAAAAGAAAACAAATCTCCAACCCCACAACCAAACATAAGAAGGTGACATAGAAACAAAAGACTGAAAATAAAACATTATTTATGGGTAAAAATACTGGCCACTGTTTTCCTATCCATCCCTTAATCAATACTGGGAATAGATGAAGCTGAGAGAGTCCTATGATTTAAGGGAGTGTGAGGTTTGGTGAAGAATGGCTGGGCAGCCAGCTGTTTGCTACATGAAGGCAGCAGCACTTGCAGGAAAGCTCTGGAGTCAGAATGTTTGGCAGAAGCATCTGCCAGGTGGATCCCAGCGCTGCTGGAGGACAGTGGAGAGGCTGACCAAGGCACTAGAGCCATGACTGCAGCTCCAGCAATACGTTCCTGAATCCACACAGAAAAGATGTTTTGCTGGCCTGGAGACTGCCTCCCTGTTCCTCTTGGCTTTGAAAGAAGGGCTTAACATGTTAATGGGATTTTCAGATCTGAGACTCTGTCCAGACAGCTGAAATAATACATACATGTCAAATCACTACGGACTGCCACTGTCTGAGACCAACAGTATGTGGGGTATACAGGTCAGGGTTTCAGTATGAGAAGCTATAAAAACCATTTCCGTGAAAGTTAGAAAGCAATATTGAAAACTCCAGTATCTTCTGGAGGTAACTATAAGATATTTTAATTTAGCTTCAGTTACTAAAGTGTGAAAGCATTTTGTTCCACCTCCAAAACAAATCTTATGTATCAGACCAGAAGTGTTTTGGAGTCTCCATGGTACCAAAAGATAAAGGTCTGTTTAAGACAGACTCAAAAGTCCGGAGAGGTGTTGACAGTTTATTATACCTTCTTGTGATGGGGATCAATCAACTTGGAACAGCAATAAAAACAATTCTGCCACAGCTCTTCCTTTCAGTTCTTGTTATTATCCAGTGCTTGTTCCAGTTTCAGAAATTAGATTACTTCAGGGATTTTAGAGTCAGCACTGCACACAAGGACAGCTACCATGTTCCCACATCCCACAGCTGCTACTTGTTTAATTTTATCTTAAACAACTGCCACTGTGACGAAATCCATCACTGCCTGAGCTCCAGTTAGCACAGAGTTAACAAACAAAAAAATATAATACATACCTGGCAAGCAATCCCTTATAAAGCAAAGTGACATATATGCCCATGCTTTCTCTGCTGCACACTGGACAAATTAGGTTTACAGAAACAATTACCAAAACATTTCAAAAGCACTTCACCATATCACAGATTCCTTTGTGCCTCTTCTCTATTTATGCTTCTGGTTCAGAAGTCATTTTTGCTGTCTTTATTTTTAAAAAATGGGGGGCAAAATAAAGTCCTGCTTAGTAGCACTATAACATTTTTGTTTTGTCTTCAGCCAAGTTCATTCATTCTGGAACAAATACGTGTTCAACGCAAGGGATGTTCTTCCGGTGATACGACACAATGCACAAGTAAACGAGGTAGAGGAGACACAGCAGTGCCGTAGCCGAGAGGAAGATGAGGAGCCCAGCAAACAGAGAAGGGTTCAGAGGTAGCTGGATCAGCTTGCCTTCTGCTGGAATCATGTTTGTGAGGCTTAACATGTAACCGAGTGACCACGCTATGCTGCTGTTACCAACCTGAAATGAAGACAGAGGAGTCCTATTCCCATGGAATTTTCAAAGAGAATAGACTTCAAAAGCTCAACTGCTGTTAATGGCAACTGTACTTTAAATTAGCAATGAGAAACCTGTAGTGGAATATACAAAGAATATACAGAACCATTTTAAATTGCCCTTTTTCCGTAGTTCCAGAGGATGGTAATGAAATTATTCACTGGGCTAAAGAAGCAAGACACAGGTATTGGAGGGGTACAGAGATGTGTGGTGTATATGCAGAGAGCCAGTTATGCAATTTTCTGTGCAAGAAACACATTTTAAACAAACAAATAAAAAACCCCATGACTACTATGCCAATTCCTAAAATTAGGCCCTCACCTTAGCCAAATCCCAGGATGCTATTTGAGATCAAGCAAACAAAAACAACCCACAAGGAGTCTCACCAGCATGGACAAAGAGTAAGTAAGAATAAAGTCCCCAAAGCAGAAACTCTATTTATCATCTTTTGTTCCATGTTTATTTTTGTGCCCACAAATGAACCAAAACTAGGCTCTTCCGTTTAAAAAATAAACATAAATTAAAAACTACTTCAAAATAGATGAAACAACAGCCAAGAGAGTATGTTTGTATTTGCTCCATGGTCCTCCTGCTTTGCTGTCTTTCCCCACTTGTAGTTTGAGCAACAAAGTTTACCAGTTTTCCACTGTCCTTTTCATTAAGTCATTGACCTGGCACTTGATAAACAAAGGATCAAAAGGTAAAGTGTCTCCTGTCTTCCTCTCATCATGAGGTTTAAAACTTACAATTTTTGCAAATCATGTAGCTCTGGATCTCACCTAGATCTTAGCATTAGGCCAAGGTTCTTTTCATTGGTTGGGTTCAGTAATTAAAAGGAAATGTATACTCCTAGCATAGACAAAAAACCCACCCTCCAGTCATAGCACGATTGTGCTGCTATCGCTAGGATAGCTTAGCTGATCAGCCATCATTAGATCTTACTATTTCAGTAGGGGCAGATCTAATAAAGAGGATGTAGTCTTGCCTTTTGGAGTTTCATGATTACCCTAGTGTAAAATCTAGTCAACAAAGGTATTCATTTCAATACACCTTTTGAGAGTTTGTTTTCCTCAGTATTTTTATAGTCTTGGCTAAATACAAGAAAATGTTGCGGTTTCTAGCTGCTCCTATCAGCTGGGGACAATGCAATATATAAATATCAAGACAAATCCACACCCCACCCCCTTACCCAGTGGAG